AGCACATTCAGCGTTTCGAAGGAAGCAATCGATCAGGTGATCCGTTATCCACGACTCGATCCCACTCAAGAGGTTCGTTTCCAGTACATCCGTATGCTGTCGAAAACATCTAAAATAATTGGCCAGCACATCGACTGCCGTTGCGAAGATGCGTTTTTTGCACAGTTCCCCGCAGGGTTTTTATCGCTAACGGCACTGTTTTTTTCTGGCAAATGCTTCTTGTTAAAAGAATTGAGACTGGCCATCACAACTTTCAGAAAACATCGCCTTAAAATTTCGGCTTTCTAGCTTTTCAAGTTCCCGAATTAGCAACTTACCCAACAAAAAACTTCACGGGCCCGTACGTGGGAACCACGCATACCTGGGAGGATGGGTTTGAACTCTTTAAGTCTTACGTGGACGGGGAACATTCTCTTGAAATTCCAGTTTTTTAGCTTTTTAGGTTCCCAAGTTAGCAACTTATCCACCAAATATTTTAACGGACCCGTACAATGGGTAAATGTCCATTTTGGGGTTAGAGGCTCATACATGCATGTAGATTAATTTCTCAAAGTTTCAGCCCTGTAGCTTTTGTACACCTCGAGATGAAAAATCGGTCCAGATGCACATACAGACACACACACACACACACACACATACACACAACTCCCCTCGACAGTATGCTTATTTGCATTGCATAGATGCAAAAAAACGCATAAAAATCAAAGCCCAGAACCTCTTCCTTACTTTGGAGAAGGCACGCAGACGTAACCCGAGTAGTAGCAAATGCCAACAGCAACCATCTGCTGACAAGTCTGTCAACAGTGTTTTCTTTCAAAATTTGCTTGGAGTAATAAATTATTTTAACAAACTTATCGCACCCTTTGTTTTAACTTTCTAACTCCGGCCATTCCACATTTTGATTTCTTTGGATTGTCCACTTGTAAAATCAGGATTCGGCCTTCTAACTGCCGCAATTTATTATTCCTGGCATGCGCCAGATTGTATGCCATGATCTTATCGATTTTGGTGTTGTTTATCATGGGCGCTTATCAAATTTGAACAGGAAATAATAGACAAATTGTAAGGATGATAGGTATTTAAGAAAATTAGTGAAAAATGAAGCAAAAACAAAAGAATTAGTAAAAAATGAAATAAAATGAAAATTTCTTATAAATTTGAAAACTATACAATTACTGTGCCTACAGTCTTCCCTTTTCAGCTGCAGATTATTTGAAAGTTAGTAGTAGTTAAAGAGGAAGTAATATAAAGAAAGAAAGAAAGAAAAAGAAGGAAAAAAGGAAAAAAAGAAAATGAAAAAGAATTATAATTTTTAAATTTTTGTTTTTTGAAAACTACTTTTATAAAAAAATTTTTTAAAAAATTGGTAAGAGGTGTTTCGGTTCATTAAATCGTATAAATTTCTTACCATTACCACAATTGGACCTCGTCAGTAAGCGAAACACCTTGTTTGTAATGAATTCCCGAGTTGTTCGTGTTGTTCTAAATAATTGTTTTTTTTTTGAAGGAATTCGGCAGATTATTTGAAAGTTAGTAGTAGTTAAAGAGAAAGTAATATAAAGAAAGAAAGAAAAAGAAAAAAAGAAGGAAAAAAGGAGAAAAAAGAAAATGAAAAAGAATTATAACTTTTAAATTTTTGTTTTTTGGAAATTATTTTTATAAAAAATTTTTTAAAAAAAATTGTCAAGAGGTGTTTCGGTCCACCAAGTCGTATACATTTCTTACCGTTACCACAATTGGACCTCGTCAGTAAGGGAAACGCCTTGTTTGTAATGAAACCCCGAGTTATTCGTGCTGTTCTAAGTAATTGTTTTTGTTTTTGAAGGAATTTGGCTGTAGCTGTCTGGTGCAGTTTCGATCGCGTATTCATCGACATCGTGTTTATGCGCAGAAATCGAAGATGCAGCCACCGACAACAATTGAGGGTGTACGAGAGATACCAAAAGAGATGCTCGAGTACAGCAGCGAGCCGGATGATCTGGAAGTTGAGGACGAATTTGTGGAGTACGATGAAGCGGCCTGTAAGGAGGCTGATGAGGATGTTGCCAAAGAGCCCGGTGCCGAGCCAGCTGTTTGTGCAAAAATCGGCGAAGCAGTCACCGAAGATTCCGAGAACATGATCGCGTACTACGAGGAGGAGGAGGATCAGGAAGTGGATGGTGGCGACGAGGAAGGCCCATGCGATAGTGCTGCAGGTGGGAATTCTGGTAAAAAAGGTGATTTTTTTTAACGATTTTATCAAATGTGCTGTAAAACTGGCTTATTTTTTTGCGATTTTGCTATAAAAATCAAAATCACTTTGTGGACTGAGCAAAATCGTTGGTTCCAATGAATAAACAGTGATTTGCTGAGAAAATTTGAGGGAAACTTGGTAAAATCGTCTTTCTAAAATTGCTTGGGAGCCAATTTTAGTGTCTCTGAGACATTTTCTTGATACTTGTTACGGCGTTTCCGTCATTGATGCACTGTTGATCTTCTCCAGTGACTGAGCCGACAACAGCCATGCCAACGAGTTCTATCCTGAGCTCGCCTCCACCACAACACCCTCTATATGATCGAGTTATCGGATCGAACCAGCACATCGGTGGCCTTCCTACTGCCCTTTTTACATGCGACACACCAGTACCAATTTGTTAGCGTTCCGTTCATATTGCTACTTCCTCCCCTCGACATTTTTTCACTTCTACATTACAACCTAATCTTTTTCAAATACCCTAAATTTATACTTTTTAAAAAATTCTTCCCGTTCCTATTTTCTGCTTTTTTCCTGCCTTCCATTCCCTCTACTTCTCATCTTGGAACACTGCGACCGCCATACTGACGAGGTCCAGTCGCGGTGTTGAGCTAAGACGTATATGACTTCATGGGGCGAAATGTCTTAACACTCTCGTACATATTTTTCCTGTACCAGCAATATTTCTACATCTTGCATTACATAGTTCGTTCTGTTCATGCCTTCTTTTTTGGGTTCTTCATATTACTTTCATGCTACAATCATGCAATAATCAGCTTACCATCGAAACTAATAAATGAAATATAGAAGAGGGTTAACTGTTATACTAGCGAAATCGAACGCTGTTACATAGCACAAAACGCATAAAAATCTAGAAAAATGTCCAAATTTTTTTTTCTTTTTTTCTCTCTACATTTTTTAGGGCAAAAGCAGTGCTGCTTGTTGCACTGTGCCTGCCTAATATGTAAAATTGGTACCTAAAACTGATGCTGTTTGAAATGTAATATTTTTGTAGGAACTTCAAAAAGAAGATTTTTCAGGCGAATCTTCTGGAGGTGGCGGTACTCAGAAAAATGCTAGCACCACGAATAATGCTGCTGAACTTAAGGCTGAACAAATTGATGGAAAAAAGCCTGCAAACGAAACGAATGGTGGTAAAAATGAATGCGCGGAGAAGCAGTTACCAGCTTTGCCTTTTATAGATTTTCATAAGGCACACCATTATCTCCTGTTACCAGTGGATTGGAATGGTGCACCGGAATTCCAGTGGCGAAGTGAGTCTTTTTTTTCATTGATTCTTTGTGCTATATTCGAATAATTCTATGAAATTTGCTTACAGACTTGTTCTTTTTCTCTTGTTATAAG